AGAGAGAGAGAGAGAGAGAGAGAGAGAGAGAGAGAGAGAGAGAGAGAAAGTGTGTCAGTGCCATTGCAGAGCCCTCGCCTTGTGTCTTTGGATTTGTTCAGCCATTTTATTTGTCTCAAGTTGAATGTACCGGCTTAGCCAAATCACTACAGAAGGTGGTTTCTAAAAACCTTTCAGACAGATGTATAAAAGCTACCTCTGACTTCTCATAGATTTGTGTTTGCTCTGAAGCATTGCTATCCACACTGAATATAGCCAAAATATCGCCTGAATAAACTAAGTTGTGAACTCCTCTGTTCAGTTCTGGCTTGAAAACGTGTGTGCCATACTGTGACCTGGGGTGGCGGCTCCTCTGCTGCCACTGACCAGGGACTCCTCAGCACCACCCAGCTACAAGAGTCTAGGTCCGAGAAGCTGGTAGAAGCGCTTCTCTGCATGGGGAACATGCACCCTCCAAGCTGGTGGGCGTGACTGTGCAGGACCACATGTGGCTTGAGCCTGGAGATAGTCGTCTGTTCCTGCCTGGTTTTGCTTGCCTATTTAATAGTGTAAGAAGGCATCTTTACCCCTGCTTTGCTTATGAATGGATTGAAAGTGGCTTCCCTGCTCTCCTCCCTTTTTCTTCACTATAAACTGATAAAGGTGCTTCAACACCGACTCTTGTGCAGATAATGTATTTAAGCAGTTGCATGGATTCAGATAGTGCAGGCAGAGCTAGCTGACTTTGGGACCCTTGTGAAAGTGAAGGACTCGAAGCTCTGTGCTCCGTTTGGAAGGAGCAGTGGGCTCTGAGTAGAAGTTTCCCTCTAGCGTTGGCAGAGCAGGTCTAACTTAGAGATTTGTCATGGAGACCCACCACCTCTTGAGCTGTCCTATGGTTGCTGACCAGAAGGTCATTGTCTTACATCATGGCTCCACCTGCATCCCCTTGGCCTCTCTCCTCCTAAAGTTTCCTTGGAAAGTCAGTATAAGATCCCAGACTCCTCCATTAGTTGGCTTAGAAAAGCTTGAGGGACAGATAGATGGACAGTACCATGAAGGCAGGTACCTGGGTATTGGGCTGGGCTGGGAGGAGCTCTTCCAAAGGATGTCTTTGTGCCCTCCCCCACCCTCACCCCCCATCCCCATCCCACCATTGTATTGTATGGTAGGGGTGTTGTCATCTTTCCATTCTTTTGACTTGGACAACTCAGTACCCTTAGGAGCTCTCACATATTTCTCTGTGGAGAACCAGAGGCATGGAGGGTGGTGGGTGTTTGCAACACCCCTGTCCTGCACCCCAGGTTACTTAGGTCCTCTGACTTGGTTGGGATTTCAAAATCCAGGAAAGCACAGGGTGCTAGATATGTTATGCTTACGGTCATACCCAGGTGCCGTAGTGTGAGCCACAGCCCTCGGGGGCACCAGCACAGAGGCAGCCAGCCTCCCCGCTCATGACACTTGTGAAGGATAGATAACGAAACAAGCCGCAGCCCTGCCTACTGTGGTGTTCGGCTAACACTTCTTTTCACTGGTTGAGGTGAGGATACTATTTGAAACCTTCCAGTGCCCTGGCAGTTCTATCTAGTTCCTCCATTCCTTTGGGCTAAAAGGCTGAATAAGCTCGTGTTTGGCTTCAAGCTGCCTTTATTTGAAGTCATTTAAAGGTAAAACACCAGTCTATCCTCTTCCCCGTAAGTGTTACCAGCAAGTAGGTGTGGAGGCCTTTCTCATTCAGTTCTTTCTGCATCTTCAAGCTCCCCAACATCAGTGAGGTCACAAGAGCACCCACACCAGCCATCAGCAGAGTGAAGTATACATATGGGGACAGAAGTTGGGAAATGTACAAGTTGTAATGGCCACTCTATGTTGTGACAGGGCAGGCCCTCCATCCTGCACAGCAGGTGGCCTCGGCCCTACCTCCAGACACCGGCTTCACTGTCTGGACACCTTTGAGCCTTGAAAGTCTGTTCTTGGTGTCCTTTCAGAATCATGCTGGGGCTGATGGTTAGTTGACCCTGCCTAAAAGCTCCGTCAGCCCTCAGCTCTCTTGCAAACTGTGATACCACCTTGTAGCCTGTAGCTATGGAGACACACTCAGGCCCGTCCTGGGTTCTTTGTGCCCTGAAATGCAGGTGCACCTCTGCTGGGGTTTGGTTAGGCACTAGCAAAGGCTACTTGCTGGTCTTGTGTTCTCTGCCCCTCAGCAAGACTGTCTGTTGTAGTGGAAGTAGGTTTAGAGAGACTTGGAATCATGTCTTTGTGAATCGAGTGTGACGTCCTCAGGTGTAAGGTGCTACTTGGTCCTAATGTTTTGGAATGCTTTTCCGTTGTTGTCACTCCATTGTTCCTCTCTGTTCTCTGACACTGGGGGAGACAGCTCACTTAGGTGTGGTGTCACTGAAACCACAAACACCGGACTCCAGCTTTGATGTGTGGGTGGTGTGATTTTCATCTCGGACCTTCTCGAGCCAGGGATGATGTGATGTCCTGGCCTAGTCTAAGTAACTCCTCCCTCCCTGTCAAGTGATTGCTTTTGTTGGTTTTAACAGGAGAAGTAGTCCAGTCTGGTTATTCTATTTTTCAATTGCATAGAAAAGGCGTGTGCAGCACTGACTGCCAATGGATAACACA